TGCCTCTAGCACTTGTTTTCTTTACTTTTTATTTTTCTTTTGGCCTTCCCTCTTGCTCCCACTAGTGCTTGCACTAGTGGTGCTAATAATTTTGGCTGTCAAGATCTCCGATCTTGACGGTGCACCTTTTTTTTTTTTTTTTTTTTTTTACACTGCCTATCATGCCGCCATTTTTCCTTGGAACGTCACAGTCCCCGCCACTTGTCCTGTACTAGTCCCCGACACTAGTCCCAGTCCCGTGCGGTCCCCGACACTTTGTCCCACCGGTACCACATCTTTACCTAGTCTCACGTGGTCCCCAACACTTTGTTCCACTGGTACCACATTTTTACTTAGTCTCATGCGGTCCCCGACACTTGTCCCGCCGGCACCACATCTTCTCCTAGTCCCACGTGGTCCCCGACACTTTGTCCCGCCGTCTTTTCCCTTGCGGCGCGCGCCCCACAACGCTACTTCTCTTGGCGGTCCTTCTCTTCTTCGGGGGAAGGATCGCCTTTGCCGTTTTCTTGCGGTCCTTTGCCGCCTCCCGTTCCGTTAATCTCCTCGTGGTTCCATGGCCCCAGCGACTCCGGGCACCTTTTAGATCCAAGTGTCTGTGCCTACGCCTTCAATTCTTCCAATATTTTTGCCTCCGGTTTTCTCTGTCGTGCACAATTTGGTCGTATACAGCCTCTCGAGTGACGGGAAGTTATTCGGGACTCATCAGTTCCGACACATTCCCCCCACTCATTCCCGATGTCCTCATCGCGCACCAATCCATAGTCAGTAGGGGTTTGGGGGTGTAAACGAAGGGGGAGAGAGGGCGGGGTAAGACAGGTAGTTAGCTTTCCAGGGTTCGTTTTGTTCTTTTTCGGTTCCTTTCTCAAGGTTTTCTTTAGCTTCCGCCCCTTGGGGTGGAGGAGGGTATGGGGGAGTCAAAGGTTCTTCTCCGGGCTTCTTTTTTCTCCCTACAGCTTAGACCAGGTTGCTCATTTCCATCATAGCTCTGCCTCTTTATCTTTCCCTCGGTCGAGACACGAACTTCCTCCTCAGTCAACTCTGTATACCCAGCAGGGTTGCCCATAATTCTTTCGACTTCAGTAATATGAAGCAGACGAGGCTCTCCTTGCTTCATGCATTTAACTACTGGTATGGTCGCTTTATTCCCAGGATGACAATTTGTTGTCATAACACAATTGGTTTTCTCATTGTATGCCTTTGCATTGTTGATAACAAATTGTAGGCAAGTTTTCGGATGTGACTCGATGTCAGGCATTTGCTCCGGAAGAGGGATGTCCGTCCAGTGCAACCGCCACCTTTGCTGTGGTGATACCCACTTCAAGTCGATGAACACAGGCACAACTCCCCCTTAGTGCTTTGTAATCTCAAATCTATCTTCCCATTTCATTGAGAAAACATTCTCGAGCAGAAACCCTTTTTTGGTTTCGTCTCATTCATTACTCTTAGAACATAAAAAAATAATCTACTTTTCGGCTCATGCAATCCATGTTTTCGGCTACATTTCCCCCGGGTCATTTTACCCGACCTTTCTCAGGTCGTGCCAATTTCGCATGCATATCACCCTTTGTCCTTTCTTGCCCTTTGCTTAATTGACTTTCCATTTGCAATGCTCGGTTCATCCCTCGTACATTTCTTTTCTAGACACCTTGTCAGACCTTTTCAAGCCCATGCAAACCAATTACTCATCCGTTTCTCATCCTTCCAGCCTTTTTTCTCAGATCCATGCAAAGTCCATCATACAAGTCTTTTCTTTCCCGGACGTCTTACCCGGCCCATTTTCAAGCTCATGCCAAATCAATCACACAAGTTTTTTCTCTTTTGGGCATCTTGCCAGACCCCCTTTCCTCAGGCCCACGCAAAACCAATTACACAAGTGTTTTTCTGTTCTGGGCATCTTGCCAGACCCCTTTTCTCAGGTCCATGCAAAACCAATTACTTAAGTCTTTTTCTGTTATGGGCATCTTGCCAGGCCCCTTTTCTCGGGCCCACACAAAGCCAATTACTCAGAGTCTTTTTCTGTTATGGGCATCTTGCCAGGCCCCTTTTCTCAGGCCCACGCAAAGCCAATTACACACATCTTTTGCATGCGTTTTTATTGATAGATGGCACACCTTCCCCCCACTCAAAACGCGATGTCCCCAGTGCGCGACTGGTTCTCACTCGGAGGTACGCAGACCTTTGGCCCGCCGACCGCAGTCAAGGACACAAGCCCATCCGCTTCACAAAAGGAAGCGTGATCAGTTCCTCCCCAGCGGGCGCTACCTCATCCTCCTACTCGATCCGACCTTTTTCTATTACGTGGCGAGCACCAATACTGAGGTTCCTCCTCATATCTGGCAGGTAGGTCCAATCCAAAACCTCCCAGGGCCTTGTCTATCCGTAAGAGCTTTCCTCGCGAATCGTTCCTCCCGAGTGGTAGTTTTCTGGATCCGGCCTCTTCCTTTCAAGAGAGTTGGGGCTCTCTATTAGTTCGCGAGTGCAGTTACAAAGACCTCGCAATTAGTCCCGAAACGGTTGTAATGTTCCGGCAGGACAGTGTCAATGCCCCGTGGTGGTGGCGGCCTCCACCCGGTACCTCGCCAGCCTCTCCCCTTGGACAGTGCCACCCAACTTAGCGCGGGTAGCCGAGGTCCGACCCAAACGGCCATGCCACCTCTCTATGGTATGACGCGTGGTTGGAAAGTAGCAAAATAGACTAGAATGAGAATGACTCTCTCGCCCATTTGGTTCTCTCACCCTTTGACGTTTAGGCGTTCAACACAAGACGCAATTTGAACTCCCCGACTAGAGCTCATTGTCGGGGTCAGTTCCGGACGTCCCGCACCGATCCAAGCGGTAGGTGCCTTAGTCCTTTAACCCTCGTCCCCTTGTAAGAGGAACAGGTCGCGCTGAGACTTTTTGCTTTAGAGGGATAGAGGTCTTGAGGTCGCGGTGCGAGCACCGGTATCCCCCTCTTGCTGAGGCCAAGGACTAGAAGAAAATAGAAATCCATTTCAAGGCTATTTCCATGTCCATTTCAAGTTGCCTAGGCTCATTCCAATTCCAATGTTCAATCCAATTCCAATACTCAATCCAATTTATGCAATGCAATTTACAGTGCTCATTCCAATTCCAATGCTCAATCCAATTCCAAGGCTCAATCCAATTCCAAGGCTCAATCTAATTCCAAGGCTCAATCCAGTATTTCTTCCAAGGCTAAGTCCAATATCTTTTCCAAGGCTGAGTCCAATATCTTTTCCAAGGCTGAGTCCAATATCTTTTCCAAGGCTCGGCTCATCTCAATCTCATCCGTCTCAAGCAATCATGCCAGGGGACCCTAGTGCCAATTCCAAAGAATGACCCTTGTCAGGGGCCATTCCGAACAACCTGGTTAGGGTTGTTCTTTCCAATTCCAAGTCGAACAGCCTGCTTAAGGCCATTCTTATCCATTTTCATCGGACAGCCTGGTTAGGGTCGTCCTTATCCGTTTCAATCGGACAGCCTGGTTAGGGTCATCCTTATCCATTTCAATCGGACAGCCTGGTTAGGGTCATCCTTATCCATTTCAATCGGACAACCTGGCTAGGGTCATCCTTATCCATTTCAACGTTAGCGCCCGAGGGGGTGGGCCTCGAGGACACGGATCCTATCTCTGTCTCGGAGGTTAGAAGGTGGTCATCTCTTGTGTTTTACGCATGCCTTTGCCTTTTGTGTCGTGCCATTCACCATTCTCATATTCATACATACACCTGACTTAGCGTCTAGTGCTCAATTTGAGGCTCACAACCCCGAGCAGCACTAGCCCGCCCGGCCGTTCAACCATTGCGGAGATCGTTTGCTCAACCAATGTTTTCCTCTTTCTGACCTCTCATGCCTTTTACTGCTCTAGACTTTTTCGGGATACGTTGGATTAGGCTCCTAGGGAAGAGGGTTCTTCATACCTTTTTACCCATAGGTCCCCTAACCTCTCACAGAAACCCATATCATAACTCATTCAACCAGGGTTGCACATTTTTCAAAAGAACAACTCCTTGTCATAAACTTTTCTTCCATCTCAACAATCCACACGCACTTGCCCTTTCCCAAAACAACGTTAACCATCCCCAGTCCGTGTCTCACCATCCAAGATCCTCGTATTTCCAAAGGAGCAAGTAGTTATGCAAAGTAGCACTGACTACCTAGTCCCTGTTTACTTCCCCAATTCAAAGAGCAACTTTGTCGCGGTTTTTCCCAGGAAAAAAGGAGACAAATTCGAATGCAAAAGCAATATTACAGACTTGTCTCATCTAGGTCCTCCCGTCTCTTCCCTTAACTTTCAGCCCAGTGCTTTATAGTCCTAGTCCCAAGCTCATCGACCCACATGTCCTTCTGACGAAGCAACTACTTATGGAAAGTAACAGTAGTTCCCCAGCCTTTGGTCATTCTAAGCAGAAAGTTGTCCCATTGTAGTCCATTCTCAGAAAGTCCAAATGCAAGACTCAAAATGGTAGTTCTGGCTGCCCAGGTTCCAGCCCTGCCCATTCTCTAACTATTCCCTGCTATGTCGACTACCCCTTGACTGTCCAGTTGCCCTGCGCCGAGCCTCCCTTGCACGATTGTCGATCTCCTGCTGCATCTTTCTCTTTGTCCTTTGCATCTGTAGGAACTCCTCTTCTGTTAAAAATGTTGTTGGCGCTATGTCCTCTCCTCTGCTTAGTTTCTCCTTCCCTTTCATTGCCCATTCATACCTCATGATACTGGCCCATTGGTTGAACCAGTCGCTGAAAGACGACCCAAATTCTCTTATCCACTTGTCCTTCTCGTCGCCTGGGTCCTCATCCCTTCCCCTTACTTCTCTCGTGGGTGTCGTGACTTCGTCCTCCTCTTCCTCACTGCTGAGGTCTATGACCTCTTTGGGTTCTTCCTCTTCCATTCTCTGCCTTTTCCCTAGGCTCCCCTCCTCCTCACTACTAGTGTCACTGTCAAATGGGAGAACTATTGGTTCCCCCTCTCTCAGGGGCAACGGTCCCCTGGTCCCTTGCTTTCTTCCCCCTCTGTTCACAACCAGATTGTGGTCAAATCCCACATACAGCTTCCTTTTCCTGGAGCTTGACTCTCCGGCCTGTCTAGTCGGTTGTTCCCTTGTAGGCCTGTTGATGGCGTTGCTGTCATTCTCATTTCCAAACTCCATCTTTATTTTTTTTTGCTGTTTTCCTTCTTCCTTGGTCCTGTCCATGCATAACAGTCACAGCATCCCTCGTGCACACACATTCCCTCCCAGTCTAATTTGCAGATTTACAGGCTTTCCCCAGAACCCTTGCTTACTCCCATATGATTGGTAGTCCCATTATCCCTCAGAACCCTTGGCACATTGTTCCAGCACATAGGTAACCCATGTAGACAGTCCCCAAAATTGCCCCACAAGAAAAACTATGGCACATTGTCTCAAGCTCCCAACCTCGTCCATACTCAACCCAGGCAGTCACCCCATGTTCCACAGGAAACAAGACACAAAACGAACAACCCCCTGCCATCATGATCACTTCCGCAGGGAGGCGGTATAGAATTATAGTCAGCTGCCTGCCTTTCAAGTTGTCAATTCCCCTGTTTCCTTGTCCCGAGCCTCCTATAACCATTGCTCCACCGGATCCCTGCTAAAAAACCTGACCAACCTCTGTCCCGGAAATGACCCTTTTATCCCAGTACCATCAAGATCCTCGAGTTCAAACGTGTTCAACCCCACCCGCTTAGCGATCTTGTACGGCCCTTTGAACCTTCTTTCCAGCTGCCCGGACCATGTACTTTCAAGAGCCGAGTTCCTAACTAGTACCTTCTCCCCCACCTGGAGCGGCTCGTTTCGGATATTCTTGACCTGGTCCCATCTTGCTTTGTCCCTCATTCGGCTGTCCATCACACGCTTAACCACATCCTCCAAGGCCTCCTCGTTTCTAACGACCTGTTGGCAACGTGCGACGATCAGTTCCTCCGTGGACATGTGCGGATTGTCATCTAGCCTGTTCCAGGTAGGAACCAAAGCTTCCACCGGGAAGTCAATCTCCCTCTCATACCAGAGTTTTGTCGGAATGCATCCCGTCGTCCTCTTTGGCGTCATATTCTCTGAGAAGACGGCTTGCTTAAGGTACCAAGGCCAGTTCCCCATGTCATCGACCGCCAACTTAGCGATTGTGTTAAGGTCCGATGTCCCCTTTCTACTGGTGCATTAGCCTCCGGATGGTATGGTTCGATGATCTTGATAGGTACACACAGCGTCTTGAGCCTGTTTAGTACTTCGTGATTTACGAACTCCGTCCCATTATCGGCTATAAACCTGCGCACGAAGGGGTGCCTTAGGTAGAAGTCCTCAATCCAGTCGGCCACTCCCTTCCCCGTCTTTCTCTTAAGAGCTACTGCCTCCACATAACCACTGAGGTTATCCCTTGCATCCAATATGTACCTGTATCCATCCGTCGATACAGGCATGACCGCAAGGTCAAGATGGACTAGGTGTCCCGGCCCCAGTACCCGGGTAGGTCTAAGGGGCTCGAAGACGCGCGCGGAGCTTCTTTCTTGGCATATCAGACACGTTTGACAGTACGTGGCCACCATGCCTGCCATACCCGGCCAGAAATAAAGAGGCGCAATTTTCGCAAGTGTCCCTTTGGACGACCGGTGCCCTCCGGCTAGCCCATCATTATGTCCAACTGCCTAGACCTTCCGCACACGACACGCCTAGGCATCATCCCTTCTTCTTTCCTGAACAAGTGACTGTTCCTCAAAACATACTTCTCGGCTTCCTCCCTTGCCTTGAGGCCGATTTCCATAGGCTGCTTGTTTCCTATAAGCATCAGACCGATTTCTCTAAAGATGCCATCATACATCTGTATAAGGAAGAATTATCGTTCCTTCTGATCAGTGTCTTGCTCCTCCTGAGCCTGATTCACTAGATACTGTCGTTCCCTTTGCGTCCAAGTTTCTACTAACTCATCACGGCATCCCGGGCCCCTTCAACGGCCATTGCCATCAGCTCTTCCTTCGTCCCCATCGTTGCTCCCCACGAATCCTTCTCATCCTTGCATCTAAATGTGGTGACCGGTCCCTCCCTGAGCTCCGCAACTACGGCGGGCGCGCTCTTCTCTAAGGTCTGAATCAGCAGTTGGTCCATTGTCGGAGTGGTGTCTGCCATCTCGTTATCCACGACCAAGGTCCATCCTTCGTATTCTAGGAAGGTGTCAATTGGTTCTGCATCCTCTATTCCCTCCGGCGTAATGCAAACCGACTTAGCTCGTCTGCCCTATTTCGGAGCCCCGCAATTCGCTCGACCTTGTACTCGAATTGCCATATAAAGCCTACCCATCTCCCAACGGTCGGGTCTATAGGCTTATAGTTCTTTAGTGCCCCAGCGACATTCGTCGGATCGATTCTCGGAGTAAACTTTCTTCCAAATAGGTATGCCTGAAAAGTCTTAAGGCAATGTAGAATGGCTAAGACCTCTTTCTTGAACTGTGAATATCGCCGTTCTGCCGAGTTCAGGGTCCTGCTCTCAAATTTCATAGGCCTCTTCTTGCCCTCCTCACTCCTTTGTATCAGGACTCCTCCTACTGCCAATGGTCCTCCGTGTGTTTCCAAGACAAATGACCGTCCTACTTCGTCATTGAAGCAGGGTGCTGCCAAACTGACTTGATCAGAGGCCAGGACGTCTTTAAGGGTCTGAACTGCTGCTTCCCTATCCTCGGTCCATTCCATAGTCCCCCCTTCCCTAATCATTGCGCGGATAGGCTAAACTATCTTTGCGAAGCCCTTAATAAAGATTCTCCAGAATCCGACTACCCCTAGAAAGGCCCGTACCTCCGTCGTGGTGCGCAGAGGCGTCGACCATTGGGAGATTTTATCCGTCTTGGCCGGGTCGGGCTTCTTGCCGTAGGCCCCACATCGAAACCCCAGTATAGCAACTTCTGGGACCGCCAGGATGCTTTTTGGTCCGCTTGAGGTAATATTATATACCAGGAACCGCTGGAGTAAGTCCATGATATCCTGTAGGTGATCCCAAACGAACTTTCGTATGCCCGGCTGGACCTCCGTCTCATCCTTGTTCTGCGCACCTTTTATGGGATTATCGTTTATGTAGGGCTCGCATTTTTCTGGAAACATGTCCCCTGCGACCGCAAGCATCCTCCTCTGCGCCCCTGCCACAACGTTTGTAAAGCCCATAGGGGTCACTTACATCTGCAGCTGCCCTACCGAGGTGTGCATGGCAGTGTATGGTCTGTCCCTAGCATCGAGTGGCAGTTGATCATATCCCGAGTATAAATCTATCAAGGAGTAAATACTACGGCCGGCATGAGATTCAGCCAACAAATCGACCTGTGGAAGCGATCCCGCATCTCGGATTGTAACCGCATTTAGCTTCTGCAAGTCCTGGATCCATCTGAGCGTCTTGTTGGGCTTCCGAAAAACGAACCACTTGTTCGCGTAGGGGGATGCGATGGGTTCGACCACGAAGGAATCTATCTTGGCTCTAAGCAACTCAGTGACTTCCGCTGCTATTCCGAACTCGTAGGCAGACCCTTTGTCTTTCCAGCATTCGTGTTCCACTGTATGGATCCTAACGGGGGAAATCAAATTTGCGTCTAATCGGCCTTTCGGGAGTTCATTGAAGGCAAAGGCTAAATGGAACTCCTGACACACTTTCCTTATCAGCTGAGCCTCTTCCGCCGTTAGGAACCCTTCTACCCCTATCTTCATGGTATCCGCTATCTCATCAGGTATTCGGTGCCCTTCCGCTGCTCGCCTTTCCCTTATTATCCGCAAGATTTCTTCCTCCTTTTCCATGGCCTCTTCCTTTGATGCTTCCACTAGGATCGAGACCGGCTTGGCTTTCTTCCCTACAGGTTTGTATTTTCGCACACTCCGTTCTGGGATCGTTCTCCTAAACAATGAACGGTCGGGATCGACCTTGCTACCTCCAGGACGCGGGGCTGGATACTGACTAGCTTCCCGTTCAGACAGTAACCTTTTCGGACGCCGTCTTCGAATTTGGCAAGTGTTGCGGGGTCCACCCCCACCTTGTGGTACTTGATGACCTTAACGAGTTGTAACAAATCTGGGATTTCAAGCACCACCTCCAGCGTTTCCTTCCGGCCTTCCTTTGGTTTGGGTAGGCGGGCCCCAAGTTCGACTTCCGATTCTTTTTCTGCCACTATAACTTCCAGGACCTCGTCCTCTTGCCTTCTTTTCTTCAAAGGTAAACCCATCTTGATCCACTCCTTCTTGCTAAAGGCCTCCTCAATCATGATCTCTACTCTCTCCCTCATACCTTCCATCCGTGCGAATGCCCCCTTTCGCGCACTCTCTTCGAACGTTGGCGACCAGGTTGCCAATTTGCCCTTTGGGGGATCCCCTCCTGTCCCAAGGAGTCGGAGTTCTCCACGGCCGGTCACGGGGTCCTCTATATCCACCATGTATGTGTCGTCATGCAGATGCATACCTATTATTTCTACATTGGCGCACCATGGTCTTCCGAGAATTATGTCATGGTCCATTTCTTCCATGACGGTCATCCGCTGGAAGGACCAGATTGACTCCCTGATTCCAGCCTTAACTGCGCACTTCGTGACATATCCTGCGAAGGGAATCTCCCCGCCAGCTCCGAGGATACTCCCTGTCACTTCCTTGTTTACGGTGCAGCCAGTAATTGCCGCAAAGTCTCGCCGTATGAGGGTAATTTCCGCACCACCGTCCACTAATGCATCTGTGTGGTGGGTTCCGATCTGGACCTTCAGCTTTCCTACGGGCAATGCATGGAAGCTAAGCTTCATCCCGGGCGGTGCCCTCATGACTTCTCCACCCTCTCAGTCCGGTAGGCTTAGGCGGATGTCTGCAAAGGCTTTTTCTAGGTCCTCCAGATCCCCTGGAATTCGTTGGAGGTTGGAGACCCCTTGCGGCGCCTCGGCCTCTTCTGTTTCCTGCTTCTGCGGTTTCGGGGCCTCCTCTATCTCTACGCGCCTACGCGTTAGCAGTTGCCTGAGACCTTTGAGCAATCTCGGGCTTGCTTGTAGCATGGTCTGAAAGGATACAGATACCATGGTACCTAGCAGTTTGGTTATTGTATCGTCGACTTCCTGCACGGTCAGGATCGGAATTTGGTACCTGAATTTCTTCATTGCTACTGCAGCCTTGTCTATTGGCTCTTCTTCCCTTGCCTTTCCGTAAACCTTCTCCTGTTCCCCGGTTTCTGCTTCATCCTGATCTGTGTTCGTCCCTGCGACCTCTTCCAGTACTACGTCTCGAATAAGTTTCTTTTCTGCGCCTGCTCGCCGGGTGGTGATGTTCACCCTATCTTGTCCATTACCTTCCAGGATGAAATTCACCTGTGGTCCGCGTCCCCTGGGTTGGTCCCAGACAATGTCGACTACCGGCTCTGCTTCTACGGCCGCTATATCCAGGTTGTTCAGGAGGATGACGACACGTCGCATTCCTCCTGGCGAATTCCAGTTTATGCGCTCTCCTTGAGGCCCAAAAATTTCCCCTCTGAGTGACCTGCTGCACCTCTGCCTCATGATATCATGGTTGAGTCTCGGGCAGGTCCGTACGAAGTGTCCGACCATTGTGCAGTACTTGCACTGCTCATTGGTCGGGTCCCTCCTGCCATGACCTCGATTTGCTACTGCCTCCGGAACTACGGCCTCTTGGGGCGGGAGGGCGGGGCGGGACACCTGCGCCTGCATTACTAATAGCGCATTCTCCACTCTTTCTATCTTGTTATCGACCCCATGCACCCGCTCATGTAGGCTCTCTATCCCCTTCTTGACCTTGTCTCCCGTTTTCCCAGTCAAGTCTATAACCTCTCCTTCCTTGAGCAGGGCTAGTGTCTCAGTCACTACTGTCTTTTCTGCGAGGTCTGTTACCGTGCTGAAATCCACATCCCTTGCGTACTCGAACTTACTAGTCTGCTGGTAGGCCGACAAGATCTTATCCTTGTCAAACTCGGATAACTGTCTGAGGAAGTACTTACTCATTATACGGTCTGTTACTCCGGGAATTCGTAGTGCTACTAAAGTGAATGCCCTTAGGAAGTCGTTATAAGTCGCATAGTTTTTCCTTTGGACTGCCCCCAACTCGGCTTCTGTTGCCATTTTCTCTGCCTTCAGGTACTTCCTCATCATCTCGTTGCGGATCTCTTTCCAGGATCCACTAGAGGCGACAATAATCATAATGTCCCTTCCTAAGCTTAGCGACACATACTGCCCTAAGTGGTCCATCTTTTCTTCCTCAGTCCATTTCAGCAAGGCTGCCAGGTTCTCATAGTCGATTAGGAATTCCATAATGTTTGCCCCGTCGAAAGTAAGTTTCTTCTTGGCATCCGCAAGGTACCTCTGATTCTTGTTCAGAGCCCGAGTGAGGGTGACTACTATCCTCGTGAGGCCCCCTTCAGAGCTCCCCGTTTCGCCGACCGCACTGGTCCCTTCTCCTTCCTTGGTATCTCTCTGCTTTTCCCCAGCCTTTAGCGTACCCTCCGGATCAAACCATCCTAACACCCTTTCCCTGAGACTCCAAAGTCCGTCGCACGCCTTGGTTGCTTTCGGTGTGGCGCGCAAACGGCTGGTACCACTATATATGGCAGGTGGGGTCGTTGCCTTCTCCGCTTCTACGGCTGGGGAATCCCCCTTTTCCTTACCCTTCTTATTGGGCGTGCCCCTATGGCTATTGTCCTTCCCTCCGAGCCTGGCTTCGCTCTGACTGATCCTGCGTTCTTCTCGTGACCCCTCTCCCAAAAGGTCTCCCTCGTTCCCAGCCATCATCTCCTCGATAAGCCTTGCTTTATATTCTGTGGTCCGTCTTTCTATTTCTGCTAACTTACGGCGTGCGTCCGAGACTTTCATTTTCTTGGGTGTGGTTCCGTCAGACTTTCGACGACTCGTCCTGTCGTCGTCCCCCTTTTCCCTGCTTTGCTAGGATCCTCTTTTGTTTCCCCCGGCTTTCCCCGAACTTTCCCCTGTCGAAAGGTCCTTCCCGTTTTCCCTGGTCCCTTCTGATTTTGCCGACTCTCGATCCCTTACCGACCCTTTGTTCCGTTCCCCGCCTCTATCCGTGCCCTGACTCCCTTTGCTCTGCAGCCCTTCGCCCTCCTCTTTTGACGCCATCCCGTTACCTACCCTGCACATGGAATTTTTTTTTTGCGAAAACGGCCAGATGTTCATAGCTTCCCTAGTCCCGAGCCCTAAGATCCCCTTATTCTTACTTATTTCCATGTTTTGCCGTCTTATTTTGTCGGGACGACCCACCTGACAATTTCCTACAGGGCGCCGTTTTGTCTTTCTTCTGCCGGAAGGCTCGCTGCCGAGGCTTGGCGTTTCGTCACTGCCGTGCCCCGGTTCCTTAGGGTGGTGTCTGAAATTAGCGGCTTTCCTTTCGAGGATAGCCTTTTCCGACTCCCCGACACCCGAACACCTTGGCGTCGTCAGCACGGGTGGTCTTCCCAGTTCCTTCCTGCCACATCCTTAGGTACGGCGGAACTCCGACCACTGCCCCCTTGCTGACGGCTAGCTTCTCATTCCGGTTTCCCCCTTTTTACTTTTCCCTACCTTTTCCCAGTACTTTTTCTCACGTCGGTCCCTCAGGCCTATCCCGCTCGTCAGGTTCTTCAAACAAGTCAGCCACCCCAGCAAGATAATTTTCTCCCATTTCTATTTCCCTGATGATTATCGGTTCATATTCCTCAAACGCCAAGCGAGGCAACCCAAATATCAAAATCTCGATGAGTTCAAGTAGTTGACAGGCCTGGTTTCCCCAGAATGGCCCATGCCTGACCGACACATCGTAAAACATTCCGGTCGTCTGCGGTCGGAAGTGGTGGATCCAGACCAGGGTCGAGTCCACCAGGTCCCTTGCCCTTGAGAGGCTGCCAAACACCAAGTCCACCATGAAACGAGGCATTCGGCACCGTAGTCCTGTCATCGGGGCCTTAAACTCTCGCCAACCTCCTACCTTCACCCGGGTTCTCAGTCCCACATTCCTTCTCCCCCGCACTTCCTGGCCTACTCGGTTCAGTGTCTTAGTAACCCTTTGGAAGATTGGTAACAGCCCATGCCCTAGTGCCAATTCCGTTCCTAACATGTGCCATCCAAGTTCCGGTAGGTATACGGTCCCAGTCACCTTGAGATCAGTGTACAGATCGTCCCCTGGTCCCCTATTAATCCTCATACCATCCCACAAACATTCTACCATCATGAACGCCCGGTCCCTTCCCAAGGTCACGACTCTCCATTCAGTGTCAAGTCCTCTGACCATGTAGCTTGCCGGGAGCGAAACCTCCCATCCACCTCCACTTTCTGTGGGTGGCCGAGGGTGCGTGGGCCGTCGCGACATCCGAGGGCGTCTCATCGCCATTTGTTGATTAGCGGTCCCCTGCACAGTTTAAACAGCAAGCGAGTTTTGCTTATTTCATCCATTTTTCGGCCCCACCCGGGCAACTCCCCGATCCTTGACTTCGATATCCTTTCCCTTTTTTTATCCCCTTCTCTTTTCCTTGCCTCTCCTATTGGCCTGTCTCTACTTCCATTGGCTCATACAAGCGGTACAGGTCATCTACGTAAGTCATCCCCCGACTTATCTCTCGTCGAACAACGCCCCATAGAACCTTGTCGCTAACGACCGGAGCCCTTGGCCTGGTGGTAAATATGGCGAGCAAAATTCGCAATACTTCATACCTCTGCTCTCCGCTGAACGGCCCCATTTCTACGAAGGCCCGGTAATACTCTCGGTGAACCATTGCGTCCTCAAACGTCAGGTTGGCGAGGTCGGCCACAACCCTCCTAACAAGCTCCACCCCGCCTAACCTTTCTAGCAAAAAGGGCGGCAACCTCATCCAAACGTTTTCACTAGGCAGCTCGAAGCTTCCGACCATGGCTACTCCAAGGTTAGCCGTCATGTCATCAAGTTCTGAGTCTGCGAAATCGAACCCCGCCTGCCACACTAGTTGCCACGCTTCTTCGAACATACTCAACGGATCCTCCCCTGATGCCAACAAGACTCCGAACGCTCGCCACCCGTCCTTAGACATATACAACCGACCCTCTGCACGCACATGCCCCCGCGGGTCCGGGTTCCATTCCCCGTTTTCATCCGCGCGCCACTCAATTCTCGTCACTAAGTAAACCGTGTTTTCCATGAGCTCAACCTCGACCTAGTCCACCACCGGGTGCCAGCTAATTTCCATCCCACCAGCCACATCCCTTGGCGGCTCAATGCCCAGCAGGCAGTCCTCAAGGAACGTCCTTCTTCGTGCCATTGTGCACCTATCCTTCGTCCCCTTACTCCGCAATTTGCAATGAACCCTGCAATGGCCAGACATCCCACTCCCTTATCTCAGTAGCATTCCACACTTGCCTGGCCCGCGGCTTTTCCCTGTTCTTATTCGAACCACAGTACCTCCTGTCTCTTATACACATCTAGATGTGTATAAGAGACAGAACCACAGTACCTCGAACAGCTTAAACACATCATCCACATAACAAGGTGTCGCCGCTACCTCCCGACGGATTATAGCCTCCCTAATTTCCGGAGCTACCTCTAATTGATCGTACCTGTCCATATTCAAAATGATGAGGACTTCCCAGCCTCTATCGCCATGGAAAGACCTGTACTTCTGTGACATTTTGTAAAACTCCTCTGACAGCCATGTATAGTCTATGTGTATCCGTTCCATTGTGCCGGCCACTTCCGCAACATGGTCAAAACCCCCAAACCAGTCCACTATGAACTCGAGGACCCAGATCCTCTTTCGCACGCAGGGTGGCCTGAATTCTTTCCATCCCCCCATTACGACCCTACTGTGGACTTCATCCCATCCCTTATTGGCAAACCTCTCACCCGGCTTCCGAGTCCTTGTCTCTGCTCCCTCCAAAAGCCACATCGGATTTTGCCCTGCCGCTAGAGTGGTGCAGAACAGATGCCACCCCTGTTCCGACAAGACGACCGTCCCAACAGATTCCACCTTTCCTTCTACGATATCTTCCCATCCATCTTCCTCCCTAATGGGGTTCCAGATGCATTCTATCCACAGATACGACAGTTCCGGTGCGATCTCAAGCCTGACCCAGTCACAAGTCGCTCATCTCCACTCACATTCTGCCGGCAAGGGCATTTCTACTCCCCCTCTAATTCGCCTTGGTTCTCGTCTTTTGAACGTGCAGTCCCACAGCTGGAGTTCTTGGACCATCGTTCCCTACCTGCACATAGTCGACAGGCCATTCCCCGGGTAAGTCCCCCCCTTCAAAAGTCCCAGTCTTCTATCTCGTCATCGTCCCCGTCATCACTGAAATCGTCCCCCTCGTCAAAGAACAAGTCCTTCAGCCCTTCCAGGAAGGTCTCCCCCACTGCCACATTTCGATAAACTATCTGCCAATGCACTGAGCTAGGAACAAAGACATCATCCCCGCTGAGGAGGTTTAATACTTCTGCTAGTTCCTCCGCCCAGTTCCCTCTGAACGGCCCCATTTCTACTGACAGCCTAAAGAAGTCCTGTCGAGCACACTGGTACAGCCTCAAGCGCGTCATCGACTAGCATATTTGCTCCAACCTATCCCTGGTCCCAAAGACCGCATCCACCAGAAACGGGGGTAATACGCACCTCATCGTTCTAAGGGGTCGTCTCATGTTTCCCCTGTCCCCGAGTTCCACTCGCACCTCTACCTTCTTCATTTCCATCTCCGCCCGCTGGCAGGCCGCCCATATCACTTCCCGTTCGGCTTGTCTAAACAACTGGTTCGGTACCGTGCCCAGTACTAATCCTATTACCATTGCATTTTCCATCTCCTGGGATAGGTAGACCCATCCTCGAGCTTCCACCGTCCCCCGGAATTCCAAGTCCATTAAGCTTGGCGACAGTCTCGTCAGGCTCACCTTAGTCCAAATCGTCTCTATCCAGAGGAACGCGTCCTTCTCGTCCAACATCACAGTTTGATAGGCTGGCTTCAGGTCTGTCCACGTTCCTTCTTCCGGGAGGACGACAGATACCCCATCCTTTACGTCTATTGGCATCTCTGGACCACTAGAATAGACAGGAGACGAGAACCACCGTGCCATCTCGTTCTCCCGGCTCCGGTCCTGTTTTCATAAGAGAGCACCACACGGACTGTCTCCCTTGCTAGATGAGAATAGTTTTCAAACCCCTCATCCGGGTCTCCCTAATTTTCCCCACCCCTTTTTCCCGAGCACCATTGTCCCCGTCGTATCCCCAATTGATCACCACCGACCGATATTCCTTCCTCTTCGGTTCCATTCCTTCCGACTCCTATCCAAGCTTATCCTCATTTTCTCTCACTCGTGCGGACTTAGGAAGGGGTGAGAATAGACTTAGAAAGCTTGGTCCCATCCCAACATCCTCAAGCAAACTTTACAGAGGGAGACACAAAAGAAGAAAATCAGGCAAACTTCGCACACAGGCCGGTCATCTCCTCACCGACCTTTCTTTCCCAAAATGGGTCTCTCCACTGTTACTATCGACAGAGTTTTATCCCGTACCTCAAGCACAGCTCAACCGTCGCGAGCGCGGTACCCAGACTCCAGTGGGGGGTCGCCCTCACCTTCTTGCCCAGAATACCCCATCCCGTCTTGCCGCTCTTGTACACCCCCGTTGGCACCGGGAATCACCCCGTGTACTCAGTGGGGACAGAAATCGGTCGTTCGGGCATTCACATCCATCGGCACACAACTCCTCGTTCCTTATCTTAATGTTGTCTTCACGGTCATGCGTCGGGCGCCCCTCTCGAGATCGTATGGGTCAGTTCAACCCATGTCCGTCACCTCCACCATTCTTGTATCGGTCGTACCCTGAAGGACTTTCGAGCCTAAGTCGACCCCATTGCGAGTCCCATTTCGCTCGACCCGCCCACGCTCATGCTCAGGGCGCGGGTTGTTCGTCCCAGGGGCACCCCCACCTAGTGCTATGAGATGGATGGGGATGGGCCATTTGCGAGAGGGCTTTACATTGGGGGATGTAGCTCCGCTCTCGCGTAAGAAGCTCTTTGATCACTCGTGGCGTTTTCTCGATTCGCTTAATTGTAACCAGGTAATTG